CCGATCGAATCTTGGAAATCACTAGATCTTCTAAGGCCGAGGTTTTTTCCGTCAAAGAAAAACCCCAATCGACCTCGACTGACATGGCCGAACTATGTCACACGCTACACGATATCTTAGAGTTCGCAATGACCGTAGTCGGTCAAAAACCCCGCGTAGAAGCGCCTCACGTAAGCGATCTGGCTCTCGACCACGAGAGACAGACAATCCCGACTGGTGCTGGTATCATAACCGGTACGGTAAATACTCCAGAAAATTCAGGAAGCCCTGCAATTACCCGAAGTCTAAGGCGACTGTCACGAATAAGATTTCGGGAAACTTCCCAGCCGGCACGCGTTAACGGCAACCGTAGCCAGCGAACACAGCCGCCTCTTATATGTCACGGATGTGACTACGAAAGTTCGCTACCTCGTCGACACCGGCGCAGAAGTTAACGTTCTTCCAGAGAATTCCAACGACAGACTTCGCGAGTCTGTTTTAAGTTTACAGGCGGCAAACGGAAAACCGATCGCTACTTACGGTAAAAGGTACGTCTACCTTAACGTGGGTTAACGCAAACCCATACACTGGATTTTCGTGGTTGCAGATGTCTCTATGCCAATCATTGGTATAGACCTGTTACAACACCACAATCTACTCATCGACACACGCTCACGAAGGTTAATAGACGGAAACACTAAGTTATCTGTTTGCGTAACTCCTTGTTCTGGTTGCAGGTTATCCCCAGTCACGATTAAGCACACCATAGACCCCTTGTACCAATCAGTACTCGACAAATACCCCGGGATATACCAATCGCAATCGAAATTGCCTTGTGTAACCAGCAATGTTACACATCACATCTCGACTACAGGACCACCTGTATTTTCGAAAGCTCGAAGACTCGCTCCCGAGAAGCTTAAGTTAGCTAAAAACGAATTCGACCACATGATGGACCTAGGGATAATACGACCATCGAATAGTCCATGGGCATCCCCATTGCACATGGTCCCTAAAAAGGACAGCAATGATTGGTGGCCAACTGGTGATTATCGGCGTCTGAATGCTAAAACCATTCCCGATCGTTACCCGCTGCCTCATATTCACGATTTGACAGCTACCTTGAAAGGTACAACTGTCTTTTCAAAAATCGACTTGGTTAAAGCTTATAACCAAATCCCGATGGCACCTGACGACGTTCCTAAAACCGCCATCATCACTCTCTTCGGTCTTTACGAATTTCTACGAATGCCTTTTGGTTTAAGAAATGTGGCTCAAACCTTCCAAAGCTTTATAGACGACGTCTTCCGAGGTCTCAACTTCGTACATGCGTATGTTGATGACTGTCTAATAGCAAGTCCGGACAGAGAATCGCATCTCAAGCATCTGGACATTGTTTTCGATCGACTTCAAAGGCATGGCATTACTGTCAACATACAGAAATGCCAAATCGGAACAAACTCCTTAGACTTCCTAGGACACACCATTGATGCCCAAGGCATCCGACCACTTAGGAGCAAAGTGGCGGCCATTCTGGATTACCCATAACCGACCACGATCAAGCACTTACGAACTTTCAACAGACTTGTAAGTTTCTATAGACAGTTCATACCCATATGCGCATCCCTTATGAAACCGTTAACCGATCAGCTTCGTGGAAATGCGAAATCAATCAGTTTAGACGACATAGCCCGTAAAGCATTTTTCACAGTTAAGGAACACATCGCTAAAGCAACCTTGCTTGCTCATCAGGACACTCAAGCGCCCATTAGTATCGCCGTAGACGCATCCGACTCAGCAATCGGAGGAGTCTTACAACAATGGGTTAACAACTCTTGGCAACCTTTAGGATTTTTCTCCAGACGGTTGTTAGACGCGGAATCTAGGTACAGCACGTTCGGTAGGGAACTCCTAGCTATGTATTGTGCTGTACGGCATTTTCAACATTCCATCGAAGGAAGAGAATTCACGCTTTTTACCGGTCACAAACCTCTTACCTTCTCTTTAAGTTCATCTTCAGACAAGTACTCACCGCGAGAGTCTCGACAACTCGACTACATTTCGCAGTTTACTTCAGACATACAACATATTTCTGGAGCTAACAATGTAGTCGCAGACGACTTGTTTCGAATAAGTTCCTTGAACAGTTTCCAAGGAATCGACCTTCTTAAACTCGCTCAGCTTCAAAAAGAAGACATTGATCTTCAGCATGGGTTATCCTCGACAACTCTAAAACTAAGTATTAAGCAGATGGGAACAGGTAAGGAAACCTTACTCTGTGACACATCTACAGGTAGGGATCGTCCAATTGTACCAAAACATTATGGCCGCAACGACTTCAATACGTTGCACAATCTTTCTCATCCAGGTGCTCGTGCAATCGTCAAACTTATAGCCGAACGCTTTTGTTGGCCTGGTATGAATAAAGACGTGAGTGAGTGGGCACGCTCCTGTGTAAGCTGTCAGAAATCTAAGGTAATCAGACACAACAAATGTCCCTTAGGTTCTTTCAAAACCCCTGACGCTCGTTTCGACCACGTCCATCTAGATTTGGTAGGACCCTTACCCGACTCGAACGGATACTCATATCTCTTAACATGCTTAGACCGTTTCACTCGATGGCCAGAAGCAGTACCGATTAAGGACATTACTGCTGAAATAGTGGCCCGCGCTTTCGTCGAACGATGGGTAGCAAATTTCGGCTGCCCTTCCACAATCACTACAGACCGCGGACGCCAATTAGAATCTGGACTTTTCCGTTGTCTCACCTCACTATTAGGAATCACGCGCTTCCGAACGACCGCCTACCACCCACAAGCAAACAGGTTGGTAGAACGTTTTCATCGACAACTAAAAGCTTCATTATCAGCTTCAAACGTTTCACAGTGGACAGACGCTCTTCCACTCGTCTTGCTAGGTATCCGCAATGCAGTGAAAGCTGACATTGGATACACGGCATCTCGACTCGTTTACGGAACGACGCTCCGACTCCCAGAAGAATTCGTGGATCCTTCAGCTTCTTCATTGAACATGGATCTAAACTCTTACACGAGTAGGCTTACAAACGCTATGCGTTCAGTTAAACCTGCTCACACTCGACCTCAATCAACTGATGTTTTCGTTCAACCCGAATTACGACATAGTACACACGTCTTCGTTCGTCGTGACTCACATCGACGACCCCTCGAATCAGCATACGAAGGACCCTTCAAAGTTCTTCAACGCGAACCTAAGTACTATGTAGTGGATAAGAACGGTACGAACGATAGCATCAGTATCGATCGACACAAAGCAGCGTACTTAGAAGGAAACCCTAGCTACGTCGATTTTCCTTCGGTACAAGCAAACGACACAGCCACTACACTCGTAGTACCCTACACGACAACCGACACACAACTTGATACTTCGTCAACATCGATAAATAAACCTAAAACAACGCGTTGTGGAAGTCGAGTAAGATTTCCAGAACATCTTAACGAATATTGCACGTAGGACATAAGCTTTATCTTGAATTACCTTTTCATAGTTAATTATAAAATTTTTTTGATATGCTCATTTTTTTATTTATATAAAAAAAAACAAAATAAAACATTTTTATTTTTTTTTCCAGCGTATATATATATATTTCCCGATCACTTTTAAGCTGTTTCTAAGGGCATTAGTTTATTTCTTTTTCCGCTCATCTTGTGTCCTTACGCAAGTACGAGTGTATTTTCGACATGCACTCACACGTTTTACTTTTCCTCTTTTCCAGGACGGCTGGAAAAGAACGACGAAGTTTCGCAAGGAACAGAAATTTTCATTGTACTATATTTCTTCATTGCTATGTTGTACATTTTAGTCCCATAGCTTAAGGAAAGACGACCAGACGCTGCTAAACGAAGTAAGCTATCAGAAGAGTGTTTACCAACGACAAACTCATTGGGTTTAAACTTCTGGCTGGTCACGTCTTAGGGGCATCACTACCTCACTAGGGGGGAGTGATCTGTAGCTGTAAATAATTCTCCAAAATCAATAGCTCATTAAGTGTTCGACATTGGATGCTGACCACGTTGTTTAAGTGGACTTGTTTAGCTGAAGGCTTTCGGTCATGCATCCGTACCAGATCACGTTTCAACTCGGTGTGGGACACAGCTCCTACGTTTCATTAGCCAGCTCATAGAAAAGGTCCTCGATATATTGGTAACGAATCAAATATATCTTTCCTGCCTCTTCTCGTCTGACTTCTGATTTCTATCTGACTGGGAACGATCGAACATAGAAGGTGCTACTGGTAACTAGTTGTAAAATTAGAACATCCGTTACATCCTCAGTCTCCTTACTGCTCTGTTTGGTACAACATCCCTTAAATATCCTAGATGTTGCATGCTGTATGTCAATCTTCACAGTAAATATATTTTCCCCTCGAAAATTGTATGGTAAAAGCTCAAACAGCGCAGTAAAATTAGAATTCAGATGTGAAAGTGTTCGAAGATATACTCCGAAGGCTATCGATGTGTTGATAAGAGTTTTGTCTAGGATGGCTGACAATTTAATGGGATGCGTAGTATGGATAACCGACTTGATACCTCTTGCAGATGCATGACCAAGAGCATTCATCTAGATGGGTTCGACAACACTAATGAGGTCAGCAGCAATGTCGAAGTCTGACAAAACTATTTATTTTGAAGATATATTTGCCGCTAAAACCTCAGGACGTGGTCAAAGCTCCATCTGTTGACGCTCTCCAAAAGGCTGGATCATTTGAGAGACTAATACTGTTAAGAAAAACATGGGCTACCCAACCTCCTGTCTTCTCAAAAGTGAAACTCAGGCTAAAGTATTAAATTTTGCCGAGACTCGAGAAAGTCAGAGGAAACACAAACAGGACGAATCAAGCCGATGACTGTCGCATATAAAGATTGCGAAAGTGATAGTTCCAGTTTTCTTCTACTTGATCTTCAAGTAGACTGACGAAGTTGCGAAAATGAGTTTAGTTTAGTTCAAATCTTGGACACTGAAGGTCATCACTTGTGCGTAGTATGAATAAACTAGGAAATGTGTTTTCTCGTTGTAGCCTTGTCAACAAGATTTGGAAACGTTCTATAAATCTTCAAGAATATCAGTGCAAGAAGTTGATGTTAGATCATGGGATTAACGTGCAAAGATTTGTGCTTGTCAGAAATTCTGGTGAAGTGGATACGACAAAGCACAATTTCAGAGTAGACTGTTATATGTTGTAAATGTCAAACTTACAGGTCAAAGAGTATGTTATAAAAGCTCAGATACCGGCAGGTGGTAGAGGAATGGGCGTTTTTCGTGATGGGTTTAAAGGTGGCGTTCATCTTACGAAGGATCCAGATGAAATGGCACTCATAGTGTCGAAGATGCTTGGGAACCACCTTATCACCAAGCAAACGACATCCTCTGGTATCCTTGTCAGCCAAGTAAGCTTACGCATTGAGTTTTAATCGGGAGTTTTGGGTCAGCTGTAGTTTTTACGGACAACAATATTGTCTAATAGACTGGATGTAATACAGGTGGCATGAGAATTGCTTTTATTAGTTTCTTGATAGCATTGGAGTTTAGAAATTTCCATCTACTTGTTCTGACTCCGTAGGCTCAGCATGTGTTGTCAACGCAAAAGTGTTCCAGCTCAAGAACCTGTAGCACTTTTACCCATTAAAGTTATTTCCAGTCTCCAGCAGTAAGGTTAATAGTTCTACCGATCTATATTAATTATTGAAATCTACAGTACTGTAAATGTCCGATCTCACTTCCAATGTATTAACAACAGGTTCTGATACCATTTGTTTTGGTACATAATTTCAGAGGAACGCGACTTCAGACGGACGATTTGATCTTGGTTTTCGGGCTTTCTTAGAATGTCCTCAGTCTTAGTGATCATCGTTAAGTGTATGATAAACCAGTATTAGACCACCACATAAGCTGAGTTAAGATAACGGGAACATGTTGAGGCGTCTCCGTGTGATACCTTTTGAGATACCTTTTGCCATTTTGGCCCCTGAATTTTGAAGTTGTTCTAGCATATCCGTCTCATACTTTGAGCAATAACTCACTGCTTGAATCCCATATTTTCAATTCGCTCTGAAAAACGTCAGGTAAAATACCCTAAACATTTCTTCGTCCAAGTAGTGAGATGACTTGTGAAAAGCCGGTAAGACCCTGAAGCTTTTGGCTACGGTAACCTTGTAGTTATTAGTAGTTTCGCGGTTTCTGCTTATTGTGACTCCTAGATCCATGTTGTCCAATTGGCAGATTAATCAGGCATTATCGGGTTTCCCTAGAACCAGGTTGTTCTCTGGATGTTAGGTAATGCCCTTTCATAAAGTTTTATATAGCTCCCGGTATAATCTTTTCCATTAGCTTGCCAACTACATTTGCTAGACTATCATTTCGATTATTGCTGACTAATTCTTTACTTATCGCTTTATAAAATGGATTGATTATTGCGTCTTTCCAGTCCCTTATGAAATAGGACTGCTGTTACATCAAGTCCAACAGTGCTGCCAGAGGCTCGACAGTTACACCCCTAAGCCTTCATAATCCTTGGATGAATACTATCAGTACCACTCAACGTCTCTTACTTTTTCTGTTAGTGATTGTTTTGAACTTTCTTCAGAATGTGCGTGAACATTTCTTCATTGAGTTACAAGACTTTTATCCATTATGGAAGTTTTCGTTGAATATTTTGGATGAATTGGTTAGAAGGTTTCACGTCATGATTTGTTTAACCATGTGTTAGTTCTTGCTTGTAATGATTATTCAGAGTAAAGTTATTTTTGAACCATTGCTTTTGCATGACCTTTGATATTTTCCGTCTGGTTGCTACTAATAGTTTCCTCATCTTCCTGTCTCAACGTTGTGCTTGTTTACTATACATAGAGTTGTTGAACTTTAATTTCTTTTAGTTGATTGTCAATTTTTCTTCCGCATTACTGCCTTCATTTTGAATCCTGTCGTTGAATTTTATTGTTGAAGATTTGTTTGTGGCAGTTGTTGCATTCTCGGGTTCTAAATTGATTTCATTGTATTGAAACAATCTTGATTGTTTGTAATTAAAAATTACCGTAAGGAGAAGCTAAACCTAGTCGTAATCGTTCATCATGATACAACAAATTTCAACTTCGAGCGCATCAGTTGAAGGTATAAGTATTTCCACCCCTCTAATGGAGCTGACATTTAACAACTAATTCTCATCTTTGGTTACACTCTTATGGATGAAAGTCAGTTATTTTAGGGTCATATCTTTGTTAAAGTTATAAATTAGGCAGTTTTTGGTAGATGATACACAATGATACTCCTTGGTTAACAGATCATGCTCGTGTAATCTAATTATTGCGACAAGGCTCCATATGAACTGATATCGATGTGTGACACGATTGAACGGAATAAATTTCATTTTTATTAAATGACACGAAATTTTAGTACACAAATGATCTTGGTCAAATATCGTTTCAAATTAAGCGAGTATATGATGAGTTTTCTAGCTGACCTATCTGTTGGTGAAATTAAATGAATATCAGGCTTTGTTCTTGCTCACCGTGAATTTTTCGCAGTAATTCACTGGTGTCACACGTTTCCTTACAACGTTGATAAAATCCAAAACCCTTTGTTGATTGATTATTTTTCATCCATTTCAGCAGTCAATTTTTATTTCGGTTAGTATAAAAATTCCAGGTAGTTTGCTAATATATATAAGAACCATAAAAACTTAATTTGACTACAATTAACATGTCTGCCATTAAGTTCTTTATCTAAGCTTAGAATCGTCCTTTTAGTATTTTTATTTAATTCAAATAATTTTATAAGCCTCAAATCATCTACGAACCTCCATTAACCACAATCAGTTTTTGTCACTTCAAAACATAAATGTCAAATTTCTTGATATATACAGACTGATTATGAAGTTTATTATAAATATGAGAAGAATCAGCATATCCACTTATTATTATTAAATCCCTTCGTATTTGTAAGTTATCGCAGCAGTTATTTTTTCTCAAGCATGTTATTATGAATTTCTTCAGGTCATGGTAGCAGAGGCACTTGATATTCACCGCGAAACATATTTTGCTATTTTAATGGATCGAACATCTAACTCCCCAATCATGGTAGCATGTAGCAAAGGTGGAATGGATATTGAAGAACTAGCCAAACGTTGCCCATCTGAAATTATCAAAGAACCTATTGATGTAACTGTCGGGGTAACTGGTTAGTATATGAAAATTACTTTCCTTTCTATATATTCACTAAAGTATTCAGCTTATACTTGTCGAATACTCTTAAGTGACATTCAAACATTTTCAACTCAATGGTATGAAACTGAAACTCACTGAAGAGGCGATTAGCTTTTTTTAAATGCTAGTTTATTGGAATTACCACTAATATATATATATATATATATATATATATATATATATATATATATATATAACACTTGATAACTCATTAATACACATCAATATTAGTAGAAATCTGTTCATTCGTTTAAAATTTTACTGGAATAGTGAAGTAGATGAACTGTGAAGTTTGACTAGTAAACGAGCTAAAATTAGATTCTTTTTAATGTTATGAAGTGTGTGGTCAACATGTTTGCTTCAGGTAAGTACAGATATCGAGAAAATGTGTTTCTTATCAGTCACATGAGATGCCTATTTTGAGTACTGTAAGATGTACCCAGCAGAAATTTTAGGAAACACTATATATACTATCATTGTCCACTTTTTAACTAATCAAATAGTTTTTCTATTTTGTAGAAGACCAGGCATCAAGGTTTGCCACAGCTCTGGAGTTCAATCCACATACTCAGTTGTATGAACAAACCTGCAAACAAATTCAAAAACTGTACAAAATGTTCACAGCTTTAGATTGCGTTCAGGTTAGTCATATGGAGATAAACGCTTGATATACCGATAGACTGAAAACTGGCTAACCAATCTTTTAGTGTACACTCAAACTAGATAATCCTATTCAGTCTTTTGACAACTAGCCAGAATTCCTGATAAGTGTTTGTAATTAGATTTGTTTTCTAAAAACCACTGATGCCTACTAATATATTGCTTATGGTTACATCATGAATTTCGTGTCACGATTTGTAGTTCTAACTAAAATGAAAATGTTCAGCGATTACATTAGATGTTATTCTCGATATTCTATATCAGCTGAGATAATAGAATGTATACCTATTGACTAGAAAGTAGGCATGCTCATCATAAGACGTTAAGACCGTGGATTCAGTTCTCTTTTCATGCTCTGGGTGTTCATATTATTTATTTATTTATTTAAACACATAAATATTGGTACAAGGAAGCACCAGATAAATATGCGCCTCACAAATCTCATTCGATTTGTGTGAGGGCTGTGATACTGCCCAGATGCCCAGACTGAAGCAGGCTAGGTGTTCATAACTAGGACAAGGTAACTCTTAGTCTCACTCTTGTTTTTATTTGATAAAGACTCATTCAAAACAAAGTAAAATAAACCAAGCTACCTTTTATCATTACAGTAATGATCTAATTATATTATCCTTATACTATAAACGTTTGTAAAAGCACCCATCAGTTTGAGAGTTAGATCATTTGTTTAATTTAGTTTTGAATGACTTGCGGTGCTATGACCTAGCATCCCAACTTTTCACCACACAATTTTGTTATTACATATTCTGAGAAGTATTTTTTAAGAAACTCGAATTTGCAGGCAATTTTAGTGGTGATTGACAACTAACTTAATTCCTTAGTGATCTACACTGTTTACGTTTTATGATCCAAAGAATGCGATCTTAACAGCAGTCCAGTTGACATTCAACTGTTCATGTTTAGTTGCTTTGAGCTAGTGAGTAAGTTTTCAAACCGTTACTCATTGTTTCAGCTGTTCTAGATTGTTTAAAATTCATTTCATCAAGAATTGTTTTCAAATTAGTTAGGAACTGTTAAACTAGTCAAAATGAAACTTTTTGTTTTATAAATTCTCTGTTTTTGACAGGTTGAAGTTAATCCTTTCGGTGAAACAAAGGATGGTCAGATTGTATGTTTTGATGCTAAATTAACTTTCGATCAGAATGCAATATACCGCCAACCAGAAGTTCATAAAATGGCCTTGGAAGTTGAAGCTGTTGAAGTGGCTGCTTCTGGTCCGAAGAGTGCAGCAGCCTTAGAAGCAGATGCTACACACAATGGCTTAAACTATATCGGTCTAGATGATGGGAATATTGGCTGTATTGTAAATGGAGCTGGATTGGCTATGGCTACTATGGATTTGATTCATTATCATCATGGTAAACCTGCTAATTTTCTTGATCTGGGGGGAAGTGTCACTACGTCTCAAGTTGAAAAAGCATTTCACATACTTGCCAGTAAGTAAATTACAGGTACCTCATTCTGTTCTTTTTATTAAGCCCATTTATGAACTATTGTCACTTTGGTCCTCAAATTTTCAAGCAATTACTATCAATTAAGTAATGCAATTTAGATGCCTCAGTAAGAGTTCTGCGACTGTAATGGACCATAACACAACTTTTATGTATTTGCTCTCTTCAATCTTATAGTTTAAACGTACTATCGACCTTTATTTTCGTGACGTATGCATACCAACCATTGATTTAGGACTTATTAAGCGTTTAGTTTCAAAACTTAGAAAGTATATCTCCCTCAGTCTAAATAAATTATCATGAAAATCCCTATAACAGATAGTAAGCTGTTTTACAAGCTCATGACTTCCATTGGCATATCTTAGTTGGTGAGAATTTATGTTGGAATGTGGTTCGAACTTGTTACTGTTAAAATCTCGTTGATGTCCTTTGTTTTTATTTTTGGAAATAGATGATAGGTGGTGCCAATCTATAAGAAAGGACAAAAGTCCTCCTGTGACAATCACAGAGGGGTCAGTTTGACTAATATAGTGTTTAAAATATTAGCTTCAATAATACTTCGACGCCTAACCAAAGCTCGTGAAAAGCAGACTAGATAAAACCAGACTGGTTTAGACCAGATATTCACTCCACGTCAGGTCTTAGAACATAGACACACATTCAGACGCCACACAATCATAGCATTTTTTGACCTTAAGGCGGCACTTGACTCCGTGGATCGTGATGTCCTGTGGCAGTGTTTGTCACTGAAAGAAGTACCAAAGAAGTACATTAACCTTATACAGGTTCTCTGCTCGAACACAATTGGTCGAGTTAGAGCTTATGGCAAACTGTCATCAGAATTGCTTACCTCAAGTGGTATTCGTCAAGGCTGTCCACTCTCTCCATTCTTGTTTAACTTTATGGTAGACGTGCTTTTAGGAATAACACTTTCCCCATGCAGATTTAGAGGTGTTGAACTTCTGCCAGGAAACTCACTTGTTGACTTAAAACATGCCGGTGACAGTTCTATTTGGTGAAGACTCTGACAAAATGCAGTCTTCTGACCACTATGAGCAACAATGCAAGCATGTTTGGGATGCTATTTTCCCCTTCAAAACACAAAATCTCACTTCAGGATTGGGTTGCGTGGACACCCGAACTAATGATAGGGAGTGAAGTATTTGAGCGCGTTGACCTCTTCACTTATCTTGGGAGTGTCATCAGCCCTTGTGGTGTAGTGTGTGACGAAATCTCAGCACGGTTACAGAAGGCTCGTCTGGCTTTTGCAAACTAGTGTAATTTATGGCGTAGGCGAGATATCCGTCTAGCAACCAAGTGATGGGTTTACTGTGCAACAGTTTGTTCCATCCTACTATGAGATTCGCATCGGCAACTGTATCTTTGTGCTAATGTGGTATGGCGACTCGAACTGATGTACATATGTACGAAGTTCTACGTTGTGACTGACTGACTGTGTGAGAGTTGATATATAAGTCATAAAAATATTTCGTCTCGTACAAGTATTTTATTACAAAAAAATCTAAATTATGTGAGTGAAAATCATACTCTCAAATACTTTGAAGAATCACTGATTTCTGTTTTGAATGTGTAGATCATTGATTTGTTATTCTTCTAAGATATACACCATAAATAAACTTTTCATTACCCCCCCCCTGAAGAAGTCCAGACAAGTTTGCTAATTAATTAAATTTCAATCTCTGAGATTATTTCAAATATAATTTTCACTTATAATGAATTCTTTATACTCGGCGCCCAGATTTTGTCAGACTATTCGTTCTAATATTAGCGAATATTCGTATAAAGTTATAATAATTACTATTCGTGACTAGTATCATTTTATATTTCTTCGACTTATACTGTGCAACAAATTTTACCGATATGTTGTAACTATTATCTTATCTTTTTATTTTAACATTCTATTTCATTATCTGACTTCCTTCTCTTCTGTTGATGATCGTGCTTTCTCACTACTTGTTTGGTTTTACACGTTATTTAGTAAACACCAACTATAGGTGCTAGCCACATGTTTTCCTTACATTATTTATGACACTTCATTCATATTCTTCAGATCACACCGTTTACTTATGTTTTCCTTTATATGCATAGTCACTATCTGGATACTTTGTAACTCGAAGCACATAGATTTCTTTGAGTTTCTTGTATCTCAGGTCAGGTCAGCTACAACGTAGGACCAGGCACATATATGCATCGGTCCAAGTTGCCATACCTCGTTAGCACAACAAGAGGAACACCGGATTCATAGTAGTTAATCTAGTGTTGGTAGTAGTATATAAATTATAGGTTGTATATAAGGATATAGTACAGGAAGGAAGAGAGATATGAAGCAATTTTAGTCTCAAGGTTTAAGGGAAGATAAAGAGTGTATACACCTACGCCATTGTGACCGATTCTGAGCCATGTCACCTAGAGTCTCCAACCATTGGTTACGATAGTCACGCGGACCCCAACCAGGTAGTCTGCATCTGCCAACATGGCTCAGGCTAGAAGTTAGTGACTTCAAACACTGATGCCATGTTTTGGTTTGGCCGCCCCTAACTCTCTTCCGACCGTCCCCAATACTAGTCATCATAGCGCGTCGTGGTAATCGGTGTTCAGGCATACGTAACACATGGCCCAACCATCTCAGTCGATGAAGATTCATGACCTCATCAACTGATTTACCATCGTTCCCTAATACCCTGCGTCTAACCTCACTATTACTTACCCGGTGCGAGCAATATTTCTAAGGCATCTGTGGTCAAATACTAGTAACCTACGAGTATCTTCTACTCTTAATGGCCATGTTTCACAAACATAAAGTAGAACAGAGCGAACTGATGCGCAGTATACTCGTCCTTTAATTGATAGACGGATATCTCGTCTTCGCCATAGGTGACGTAAGTTGGCAAAAGCCAAACGAGCTTTTCGAATCCGTGCTGAGATTTCGTCAGACACCAACCCATTAGGGCTGATCAGACTTCCAAGATAAGTGAAGTTGTCGACGCGTTCGACTACTTCACTTCCTATCCTTAGTTCGAGTGTTGACGCAGGCCAGTCCTGGAGTAACAATTTACATTTGGATGGGGAGAAACGCATCCCAAACATCCTGGCATTATTACTGAGTTCCAACAGAAGACTCTGCATTTTGCCAGCGTCTTCACCAAACAGGACTATGTCATCTGCGTATTCTAAGTCGCTTAGTGGTCCCCCTGGTAGGAGATCAATTCCTGAGAATTCAGTCGATGAGAGTGTTATTTCCAGCAACAGGTCTATAATGAAGTTAAACAAAAATGGGGATAGTGGACAGCCTTGACGGACACCACTTGAGGTTGTAAAATCATATGACAGTTCGCCATAAGCTCTCACTCGACTAATAGTGTTCGAGTAAAGAGCCTTCACAAGGTTTATGTACTTCTCAGGTACACCTTTCAATGACAGACACTGCCACAGAACCTCTCGGTCTACAGAGTCAAATGCTGCTTTCAAGTCAAGAAAAACTATCATTGTCGGACGCCGATAAGCGTGTCTGTGCTCTAAAACTTGACGAATGGTGAATATGTGGTCGATACAGCCACGACCAGGTCTGAAGCCAGCCTGATTTTCTCGTGTTTGCAGTTCACGAGTCTTAGTTAGGCGCCCGATAATTATTGAGGCTAGTATTTTAGATGCTATGTTAGTCAGACTAATCCCTCTATGGTTATCGCAGCACACAGGCGACTGTTAACGGGGATCCATTCTAATAGTGCCTGTTCTGCCCTTGTACTTAGTGCTATGCCTACACCTGCAAGTCCGCGAGAACTAGCCAACGGGTCGCCAGATACACGGAGGGTGTATTTCGTCGGCTGTCCATTTTGGCGAGGTGAGGTCAAGTGAATGACCACACTGGGATCCTGTATGCGTGTTTCGGAGACACAGCATACATCAATGGTACGAGATTCTAGGGTTTTAGCTAAGGAGGCCTGTTGACCGATTTGGCATAGGGTGCGTACGTTGAAGGCTCCAATGTGTAGTTTGGAGCGAGGTTTAAGTAGACCTGGGACAGCGTTTCGCGCACTAGAATCGTTGGCCATGGTGACACTTGAGGAGGAAACCGAGAGAGGAAGTTTAGTGTTGAAAGTCAAGGTAGAGGGAATAGTAGGAATTGAAGAAGAAGATTGATTATGAATACAGTGGTCTTGAGTGCTGTTAGAGGTATGAGGGCAGTTATCACTTCCCGGTTGCCCACACCGTGGAAGGATTCTTCTAAAGGTACCTGAAAAGGAAATTGGGTATCTAGTGTATCTAGTGCTGCCTTATATTTATACAAATGTTCCTCTTTGAATTATATTTAAATTTTTCATTCTAAATTTACAAATACTTTGGTCAATAAAATTCTATTATTTACTTAACATATGTATCATCAAGTTTGGGGTTTGTTCAGTATATCTAATGTACTTTTCAAAAAACATGTTGAATTTAAATTTTATGTCAAATTGTTTTCTACTCTACTGAATTTTTTATCCGATTTCCTCCTCTGTAGGAGACTCACGAATTGATTGCATTCTGGTGAATATATTTGGTGGGATTGTTAACTGCAAAACAATTGCTGAAGGTCTTATATCAGCCTTAAAGAATGGCATCGTTAATATACCGGTTGTTGTTAGGCTTCAGGGTAATAATGCTGTAGAAGCTCAGTCCCTTATTTCTAACAGCGGTTTAGAGTTAATCGCCGTCGACAGCTTGGAAGAAGCAGCGTCACTTGCAGTCTGGAAAGCAGCATGTATACGTCATAACTCCTTGGCCTGTGATTCAGTTGCTTAATTTTATGTATATATGTATGTTTAATATGCATCTCAGTTTCCTCTGTTCTTCTATCTAATCATTCAAAGTTGTATCTATTTGGCGACGTCGTTGAGTGCTTTTCGTTCTAACATTACTTGTTACTTTAGGAAGGAAATCAATCCAATGTATTTACATAGACAAGTAAAAGTTTCAAATGGATATACTATCTTACTTCCAACTCTTTTACTTTGTTCACTATAAATCTTATCTCCGAAATAAAGTTTTAGCCATATTTTGTGAAGCTAACGTTTTCAATATGATTGTAAACGATTTTTCTTTTCATGTTTTTGTCATGCGACACAGTTGAGTTCGTTTTACTTTCTCCGTTTATCATGCTTCCTGCATGTCAACAGTTTGGAAAACATCTTTTTCAATATGACTGGATTGTTTGATGAGAACTAATTTTTTAACGTCTCATGCATAATTTAACCTTTTCAAATTGCTCCTTATTAGGTATTACGAAACCTCACGACAAGAAGTATTTTGAAATGTACTGTGAAACAAAAAGTTTTAGGACTGTTTGATGCTTTATTATAGACATTTGACTACGTAATACTCAAGGTCTTTACGTTGAAGGTTTTTTTCGAACCACCTAGGGAATTCTCAGTTTCTCCATTTAGGATGTAGAGTTTTACTCTATCCAACGAGATAATTTTCACGCTTGTGGTTAAGTTATCAGTTATGTTTAGCACGACTACACTTTTTCAATCGACAAAACCCGGTTTCGTGAACGACTTTCGATACAATGAACCATGTGAAGGCTTTTCAGTCAAACACTGTCAATTAAGTCCATTTATGGTTAACTTCTATCAGTACAGGTCTCTGTCGATTTCTATGTTCGCACGTTTTAGAAACGTCTTAGTGATTCGTCATCCTGGAAACTCATCCCGCTATCTGGTGGGAAATCCCGTTGGAAGCATTCATTAATGATGGAAAATGTCTTTGGTTCGACTCTCTTTTTTGGAATCCAAAATGCTGCCTCGTAACTTTTCTATGTAGAAGTCTAAAGTGGTCATATGAAATAACGTTATTACGGATGGTGGTCGCTTATACTAGCCTATAACACCCGCCAGGCCTGTAGAGACCTTGATGCGGATGAAAAAGCCTTCGGGTTCGTCCAGTTTTACCCTAGACAGGATATCAACACACTAAAAGCCGAGTTCGCAAAGCGGCAATCGGCTCTTCGCTACTCCATAGTTGTATAATAAGGTCTGCAGAAGTAGGGACGTGGGTAGACTGTGTGCTTTTGATCATAAGCATTGTGAGGTAAGAAAGAATGCAGGTTGCCAAGTGAAGCGTTCAGTCAACTTTGAAACTTCACAACTAAAGTAGTCAGAAGAAGGTTAGGGCAGTCATACCGAGGAATGTTATCCGTCCATGAAATTAGCTACCGAAATCGATATTATGGATGGCACTGTTAACGTGCCTTTTTGTCAGCCTGATTGACAATATGGTTAAGAACGCTAAATATACCGGCCTAAAGTCAGTCTGATATAAATTCACTGCATCTGCTTCTGAATATTGATCTCTAAAATCATTTCACCATTTACAGTACGGATTCTCTCCAAAATTTTCTATTTACGTTATCCTACTATCACTAATTCAATTCTACGTAACTGAACATTAATCTGTATGGTTCTATATCATTACCCGGTCGGACGTCGATGAACATCTGTTCATAGTGTCCGAGTTGTTTGTTACTATCTGACTACTAACTATAAATCTATGGTGTTTATATCTTGCCACGTTATCCGCAGTCCATGAGGATTACAATGAATTTCAGATGTGGTGGTCTCGTTGTACTTCAATTTTCCCATGACATGTTATCATATGTCTTTCATTTTTTGAGGAAATCGATCTAAACTGTCAGATAGATCAGAATGTTCAAGTCAAGTCGTATCAGCGTGATAAATAAATTTTCAAAACTGGTAGTCCTCTATGTCTTTGACAACTAACCTACACTCAGTAGTTTTACTGGACGCACCTCAACTGAAAGCGCTCGATCAAAAATCTACAGCGGATCACCGAAATGTTTGCTGTTCTAGCCATACTTATGTCTATGACCAACCTGCCGATCTCGAAGCTGGGCGTCTACTGAAGCTTTCATCATGTTCCAGGGGTATTGCGAACAGAAGCATTGTCAATCTGTGAATAGCCATTGAGTATTTGATATAGTATATGAACTTGTTGCTTACAGAAGAGAGTCGTTGAGAATGTACATTATAATTGCTTACTCATTAAATTTCGAAGTAGGTCCGGGTGGATTTCTACGTGAATCAAAATATATTAGTCTAAAAATACAACTTGATTGGATGAAATGTACCAAAGTCTTTCCAATTAGCACTATTGAACATTTAAGTCCACAAAACTTCTGTACAGAAGTTTCGGATTACGTTTAAAATATGTATTTGAAGTGATATGGCTATTCATGCTTGACAACGCTTTCGTCCTAACGAACTTTATATTCGAAAGATCCCAAACACAGTCAAATCAGAAGTCAAGAATGAAAGTGTTGAAGTGTGTGCAATAAAATAATGAGGTCTGCATCAGTGCCAAAGACTCAAGAAAATAAATGACTTTCCCATATACAAACAGTGATTGCTGTAAGAGTAGAACTAGATAAAATCAGACATATAATATCCTCAGCAGCATAATTGCGGAAGAAACATACTCCATAGGATTTCCAAGGTACGTTTCTAATCTTCTGTTTAGTCATTCACATGACGGCATACATTGTCCAGTAGCTGAACTAGACCAAACTCAGAGGGAAGATCTCCATACTACTATGTCCTGCGGGATGTATAAAGGATTCAGAATTATTCCGATAACAATTTTTCTTGTGACTTATATTAATAGCCTTTGTATTGTCAGTTGCATTGAAACTTTGTTTCTGTGTCATAATTAATTTACTAAAATAATGTTATATATGTTAATGACGAAACTCATGATCTATTCAAGAAACCTAAATAACACCATTTGTTTGGATAGTTACGTCTCACAAGACATTGTGGTATTAAACATAAAATAATACATTAGATTTCACTATCAAGTCTATAGTAATGTAATTGTCCAAGCTGGCTGACTGTAAAATGTCATGTCCTTAGCTGATCTCATTTTGGAAGCTGAAAAGATGAATTACTTCAGTCGCAAAGTTACTGCACGTAAAAATAATTACACACGGCATTCATATGGCTTCGTAGCACGAGGCGGATTCAGAATATTTTTCAAGTGACCATTATTTTATTTACGGTTATTTGTTCCTTTATTATTCAATCACTTCAACCGTTGGGTGGTTTTGTTGACTCGTCTCCCGACTATTTTCAAGCCTTAAGACTACTGAATGAACGACGTTGTGTATAAGCTGCATAACACGATACTAGAGCATCTTGATTGTTTAACTACTTAATCTTATTTCACTTTGTGCGCAGTAAGTCGCCTAATGCTGTATGGAGCGGTTTTCAAAGTTGGTACTCCTGAATAGTCAGCCTTCCTGTTTGTTTCAAGATAATAACTTACTTGATCTACTACACGATGTACAAATTTCGGACAATTTAGAATTTTTTCAAGCAAGAGATGTAGTTATATGTGTGGGAAATGCTATCAGCAGCTGTCCGGATAATGCACTTCAGCAAAAAGATTTATTACTTTCTATTTCCGGTATGTTGGTCCCATTTTGTCCATTGTATCAGAACTTCTCTTCAAAAGATCATGTGATTTTAAAGAAAGCTCGTCAGAAACTCTTCTAAAGATGGTTTTGGATGGAATCTTTGTGGTATTTTTCTTATACTTAAAATATTTAATCATCGTACTTTTCTAGCCACTTGCCAAACTGTCTAATTCAAGTAGGCTTTCGTATTATTTTCAAATGATGTAGCTGCTTGCGACGTTTTGCAAAAGTTTTTGGTTCGTATGCTGGGAATAGTTCTGAATAATAATTCTGATTTGGTTGGACGTTTCGATGTAAGTTTCATAACAAGTGATGAAACTGAGTAATGATGTTCAATGAACACGTGATTCCTGGCGTGCACGTGTTACTTATCGTTTTAGCATCTTGAACATGACGGTTCAGTCATCGTCGTCCATTGTTACTTCTGATTATTGTGATCATAAATATACCCCACATCAATGTTACTATAATTGATTCAGTCTTTCGATATTTTGTAGATTGTATTAAACAACATTTTTATTTATGAATTCCCGTCACTGAGTGAAACTATAACACATCATTTCTGTTGTCTTTTTCCTTACCATAGCCATTTTTTAGCTTGAAAAGTACTGTCCTAATAAGTATGTCAAATGTTTATGTATATTCAGCTTAAATAAACTTACTGGGTAATTATAGGTGTGAAGATGCTTAAGGTATTTGTAATTTGACATTGCTTCATTCAGAAACCCCTTTAATCGAATCGTACCCACCCAGTGAGATCAAAAGTCATAAGCGAGGAGGTTCGAATATATATTTGATAGGTTATCAATATTTCGAGGAGTGACTAATCTAAACTGGCTAGTGATCACAGGAGAAGTTGAGGATTGCGGTTCCACTCGTGATTCGGTGTGAATGTATGACCGAGCACCTTAGGCTAGGTGAGTCCATTAAAACTAATGTGGTCAGCATCAAATGTCGAAGACTAACAGAGCTATTGATTCTGGAGACTTATTTACCTCTACAGGTGCGTTACGTTTGATAATATGGGTTGTAACGACTAAAGGTATTAACTTATCACCAAGCCCATGTCTCCTAGTTCAAATCTTATAAATTTCAAACACTTAATTCGTAACTTATATAGACATATAATATTTTGCGTAGGATCACATTCTATCTCACCATCTGTGATCTACTTCTGTTTTTCTTGAATGGTATGAGAACGAGTTCTCATGAGCATTTTGTTGATGTACGAAGTCAATAACATTTCATAAGGTATCTAATTAAATAACATAGGAATGATGATTAGAAGAAACTTGCACGACCGTAGTTTTGA